GAGAGAGAGAAAGGGGGGGGAGGGGCGGTCCAAAAACTTCTGTCAACTCACCCCGTGGGTGCAGAAGCGGCAAACGTAGTAACTCTAAGGTTTAGTCTAAAACTAAACTAAAAGGTTTAGTCCCCCCAACCTAGTTCTAATCTTGAACCTCGTTTTCTGTGTTGTTCAGGTTTCCGTCTGAAAAGTACTTTTCCTGCAGTCTCCCTTCATCCTGCCCGTATAAATTGTAAAAGCTTTCCGTCAAGTTGTCTGGGTTAAGACAGGGAATTAATACATAAAGTGGCAAAAATTAGCGAAAAAGTGAGAAATTCTTGTAGGTGAAAAATGATCTATTTAAGCACGACCGAAAAAATTAACAGAGTAAGCTATATAGTTTTAAAGTTCGCAGAGCAGGAAAAGGGCAGGAAAATAAACCAATACTCGACTAGATTAAACTGTTTTAGTTCACATGCCGCAACATTTTACTTTTTTAGACTTTAATGTTTTGAGTTGCAATATTTTCTGGGCAATTTGAGTTCATGAATACACATTTTCGACTATTCATTACAATTCATTCATAGTGCAATATGCTGTCTGCAACAACAGATGTCAAATGAAACCGAAGAAATGACAATCAAACTAAGACCACACTGATTTAATTTGTTGCTTCTCGGATTCGCCTCTTCATTTTTTTCCTGGTTTGCAAAAAAAAAAAAGATTTTTGTTCTGAATCGACTCAAAAATGCTCATATTTTCCCCCAACAGTTGGGGAAATTCCTTTTCTTCCTAGTTGCAACAGTTTTTCCATCTATCAATGCTTAATTTGGTTTGATTAGAAGTTCATAATTCATTGTTTAGATATTAACCCAGTCTTTTTTGTTGACTTCATGGCTCCTATCGTAGCATTTGGGGCTATAATAGGATGCCTAGACCTGTTTTTATTATTTTTTCGCCCTGTCGCTTCGTACGTTTTTTCTGAAAGAATCCTAGAACCATTAAATTCAATTGGTGTGGCCTAAGCTCATTTTTTAGATTTTCAAAACACCATCCCATTTGGCAAACAGGTATTGGACCATGGACAGTCCTTATATGGGTATAGACAGTGCTTGGGTGGTGAATATTAAATGTTACGTCACGCTATCAGCAGTTCTTAATCTACTTATTAGTCTACCACACCACAACCAGAGCTGACTGTACTGATTTGCCTGAGGTGTAGAATATTAATTTTTCAGTACCAGGTAACTCTCAGAGACTAAGACGGATCCTGTTCATTTAAAGCCAGGTGGTCACCAACAATGAAACTGTACGTAAGGAAATCACCAATAGTAAGTGATGACGCATATTTTTTATACAATGTGCCTCATGTCCATCCTTTTGCTGAAGGTGAGGAAAAATTGATATTAGGTTTACACTGTTTTAGGAAGTTAAGAAGAAAAAGGGGAATATGACATGAGACGAGAAGACTATTTTTTTGTTTTGTAAGTACAGTACCGAATCACTGAGTTTATTTTTCATTTGGACTTGAACTGAAACACAAGGTCCGCTTCTGATTTTGTCCAGGGTACCGGTACACACCACTACATGTATGTCAGAATGAAAATTCCATGTCTCTCGTTGGCGGCTGACACCTTTAAAAAGGCTGGGGTGAGGGTTGCTTTCTAGGGTCAGTCGAATGATTAAAAACGCGATTTTTTTCTAGGCCTAATTTAGAAGAAAAGTACAATATTCATGTACAATTATTTATGTTAATCCTAAATCTCAAACTTTGTTTATTGTTACAATTTGTTGCAATTGTTACGATATTTTACGAAATGATGTTAAGGCCTACGACTGATCGACTTTTAGTTGATCAGATTATCTTAACAACAAGGATATATTTTTTTAATAAAGCAATACAAATACAAGGACGAAGTGGGACTGAACTCAAGTTATACAACTTATTTTACAGCCCCACTTAACATTTAACATAAATACAATAATCATACAAATAGTCATAAACATAAAGTAGTACGCTGAAAACTAAACCCCTATACATACAGCAATATATCAACAAGAGAAGTATTGTATGATTTATATGTTACAAACAAAGCAGAGTATACTATGTAACGAAGAAACGTTTAGTGCCGCTTATAAAAGCTTGGGTGCATCACGATCACAACCAAGAGCTAGCCTTGCTGCCCTGTTCTGAACCACCTGTAGTCTTCTTATGTTGTTCTGTGTTGTGTTTCCCCATACGGAGCAACAGTAGTCTATATGTGGGATTATTAAGGCGTTGACTACGGCTATGCACTTGTATAATCGTATATGTTTCAAACCCTCAGACATAGTTTTAGACATAGCTATAGTTTTGCACAACTACCTTTCATCATGTAGATTTTAGTTATTTTATACTCTGTTTCAATGTTCTTTCATGTTTGTAATCTGCATTTAGCCTCTGGTCATGAATTTGGAATAAACTTTTCATATATAATTCCATCTGTATCTACTTGTTTGTTCATAGGTGAGTTGTAGAAGATAATACAATCTTATGAACTTTGCTGTATTTTTGCCTTTCGCAGCCCTTGAGACGTCCTGTCCTTCCGCATGGTTCTATGATACATGTAGCGAGACATTGCTCCATGCAGATTCGAATGTTAATGCCAAGCCCATGCAAGCATATGTGGCATACGAATCAGGTAGAGACGAATGTAGTGCTTAGTTTATGTATTGAGTTTACGTTCCCATCAGCAGGAATGACCGGACATGTAACGCGCCCTGCAAAACGTGTTTGTAGAGGTCTGTTCGACTTGTAGTACTGTACCTGCAAGGTAAAGAAGAATATTATCAATAAAACATCTTTGTGTGTGCTTGGTGGATATTAGTCACATTTTGTTCCTCTTACTGAATACAACACGTTAGACAGGTTCCAACCATAGCGGAACTTGCAGAAACATTTTGATAGTCCTTCCTCCCATTAAGGAATTAGGCCACACGGGCACCTTAGCTTCGTGATCAGGGCAAAGACTGTCCCATGGACTGTCCCATTGAAATGTATGGAAAACATGTAAGAAAGAAGGTGTGAAAAGTCACCTGCCTGAGTGAAACCGCATCAAAAGCACACATTCATAGGGTCACTCGGCCTCTAAACTGTCAGTTTTGTTAATATAAAAAAATCCTATACTGCTAAAGGCATTTAAACGCTAGCACAAACTTTCAGAAGTGACCTCTGACCTCTATCACCAGCTGATGATAGCATGGAAACTCAGGACTTCTTTTCTGGCCTGGACACACCAAACATGGCACAAACTCCATTTTTTTACTATACTCAAATGCAAATAACCCTTACCTATAACATCCAGCTCCAAAAAAAGACAACAGATCCCAACATTAAGAAATTTACACTGTTTTTGTACATGAAAAATCTCTGGGCATGCGCGTAATCCTGGCATTTGCCCAGTGACATAATAGACTAAAACAAGGACAACAAGAACAAGGGATTACCCTAGAACTTACTACAATATACTTACTAGTACATGTACTTTTAACATACCCTGGGAGCCATCCTCGTTGGTCGTCGGGGAGAGTTAGTAAACGCCGCGGGCCCTGGTTAGCCCGTCCCCGGCACACGCCCTCCCCGCCCTACGCTGGGCACCACATGCGGAAACCCTCTAGGCCGCGCGCTGATAGTTGAAGTTGGGTCGGAGGGCCTAGGGGGTTTGCGTAATTACAATAGCGAGTGGAATCAACTGTTAAAGTAATGTCACCAGCTGTCTGAAATATTAGACGTAGCAAATGTCTCGGCCTGACCCCGCAGTCACATCGTGCATACCAATTTTGCAGCCACTAAACATACCCAAAGGCGCATCACACCTTGGGCATATCTTCACCGAGGTTTTTCCAACTCGTTGCGTTCAAGCGTTAAGTCAGAATATGACTGCGTACTACCTATATTGACACAGTCATGTTTCAGACCTAACCAGGTTAGGTTACGTGCTCTAGAAACGTAACGACTAGACTGAAAACAGCAAGACCGTGGGTATTTACGTTCCACCAGAAATAACAACAATACAGCAACCTTTAGACATACATTTATAAGGGATTATCGAGCCTGCGCGACCGGCGGTAACCGTCGCCTCTGACATCTGCGATTGTTGCCACATTTTTCACCGACCAATTATCTGTATGATAACAATGGGTTAGTGACAAGCCTGGGTTGTTTATGGTGACGTACCGGTTATAGATCATAGGCCAGACGTTCTTAGGAATAGAGACGTGCTGTACTTGAATTGGCCTCATCAAAGTAGAATCACTGCGTTCGTGAAGTTACCTTCAATTTTCTAGTTAGTTTGTGGTTGGTTCTGTTTAAGCACCAGAGATCGCTTTACTGCGATTTGCATACTGGTACATCAAGGTAGGTCAAAGTCGGATTACACAACAACTGGAGACTTGTATTGGAGACTGTCTCATGTCCCTGCTGCGTGGCTGACACTGTCAAAGGTACGGCTTGAATGTAACTGAACGAACTGCACTGGGTTCTGAGTCAAATCCCGGCTGTCTCTCTGTTATATGCTATACCAATAGCTCATCGGTCGCAGCATATATCTATTGGGGAAAGGGGCCCGGGACGAGTGTTACCTATTCTTACTAAGTATGTTTTGATTAACACAAGCATGCCCTCTAGTCACAGACATTTCTCTTCTTACACTTGTACACAGATGGCTAATGAGTTTATCATCGCGTTGGCTGGGTCAATTCTAAGTACTCCCGACGCGATCGGCTTTGCCTGGAGAGCGCTGTGCTTAGTCTACTGGCTCCTGGCTACAATGAGAAGTTTCTGGGACGACCACGACACGAAACTCGGATTTGTGGTGACGACAGTGACCCTGAGGGAGCTAGTCGCATTGCCGATAACGTACCTCCACTACAACGGCCTGGCTGTTGTGGCGATCAAGTTTGTCCACCAGATCTTGTTGTGCGCCTTGTTGTTCCTGGTCCACAACATGTCCGAGAAGCAAATGTCCCGAATGTCTCTCCGCCACCGCGTGTGTTACGCCCTGCTGGTTGAGAACTGTGTGGCCTACAACATGACCTGGAACTACGTCCAGACCTCCACGCTCCTCGCCGCGCTGCTCGTCCAGGACTTCGGCGTCGGACCGGACACCGTGTCGACCCTGCTCCTGGTTCTACTCGCCATCTGCGTCCTGGCCACCGTCTCCGTCGAGCTAGTCTTCCTGAATAAGCTGCGGTGGACCGCGGCTGGGCACTTCCCCATCCAAATGTGGGTTTATTATCTATATCAGGGGTCAGTCCTAGACGGCAGAATGGTGTGGATCCTGCTCGTTACAAATGCACTGCTGGTGATCATAAAGTTTACTCCAGAAAAATGTAAATATCACAGGTGTGTCGCAGAAAGGATGGAAGAAGAAGATAGTGATGAAAACCTTTTGGTTGAGGTCTAGGTAGAGCCACACCGGTGTCATGCTATTGTTTTATTTACGTTGTAGTGACTATGACGAGGTGAATCATGTAAATGACATTTAACTATAACAGTTTTAGGAACCATAGACAAATCCTAGGCTGCACTTGTATAATTTTATATGTTTATATGTTTGTTAATAGGTGTGGTTGTAGAAGACCAAACAAATGTCGCCGTATTTTTTGTTATATTGATAATGATAATAAAATTCATCTATATCATGAAGTGACAGCTAAACAAATGTGAACGTCCGAAAATATCGACGGTGATGTGTATATTATCCTTCGACTGTGTACAAGAATATAATATTGGAATGAATATTGGAACATATGTGTGTTATGGGATAGACTATATTATATAATATAGTGCGCTTTTATATTTAAGTATTGATTTCAACTGTACCTAAATTTCACGTATTGGCTCTAGTGTACTTACTTTGTATTGATTATCAAGTTCTAAATTGTTAACGTATTCCACACTGTACACACTTTAAAATGCTTTTCAGCATGAAAACTGGTAACTTAGGATAGGCCAATGGATTGAACACGTGTAAATTCATCCCTTGGGAAGAATCACAATTAAATACGGGGTATTTGGTAGAATACAGAGGTGAAGGTTTGTTTTTTGTTTGTTTACCATTTCAAGATGGCTACCTTTTGGCATCAGACAGGTCTGGTTTCTTGAGTCACTGTGCCCTCGCGGTCATTTCTAGTCGGATCAAACACTCTGTATGAAATCTGTCCAAGGCTAAATATACAAAAGAAATCTGCCTAAGGAGAGGGAATGATTACACATATGCTGGTGAATTCAAGGCTTCTTGCCTTGGAGAGGGCCTTGTAGACATGTACACTCGCATGTTTGTATGTTCTCTACAGAGCCCTTCAGGTGGCAAAAATGCATGAGAAGTCACGATTATCATTACATAAATATGTGCCTTTCCCATCCAGTTTAGCACAGGCATGTCAGTCGGATAAGCACGGTGACATTTATGGTAAGATTTTTATGACAAATCCACGACAAACTCAGAGCCAGGAATGTTCCAAACTAAATCCGCTGGCTTTATCCTGAGAAAGTTCAGTAGATACAACAATGGAGACCCACCCGACTAACCGGCTCCTAGCTACGTACGTGCCAATTAGCGCCTAACCCGCGGCGCATTTGAGATAACCCGTCAGATTTGAGATAACCGTCACCTCAGGGGGACTTTACTGATGTTGGCCGCCTGTAACCATTGGCCGCCTGTATCCCACGTGGGGCGAACGTTGGATACTGGCGGCCAATGGAAACAGCCGGTCCCCTTGCCCCACCAAATCTACAAAACTCTTTTTGCAGAAAATTCTCACATTCACACAACCACGCAAACCCCCTCTTTCCAACAAAAAACTCTCACTCTTTCACAAAACCTTTGACCCTTTTACAAAACTCACATACACATACACGTACACGCAAACGTGCACAAAAGCTTTCCGCTCTCGCGCAGACATATATACATACTGTGTACTCTTATTCGTAAATAATTTCATCAAGTTGGTAAACGAATGAATAGCACT